GAGAGAGAGAGAGATCGGAGGTTGGAGTTTTGGACGAAAAAAAAGAGTCGAAAGAAACGAAAAAGACGGAGGTTGGACGTTCGTTTTTCTCGTCATTTCGGTAATGCAAAAACAAACACCCCCGAGGGCCCTCTATTGAAAGCTGTATTACCGTATCTGTATTACGTTACGGCTCTACCGCCAACCAGCAACCAGCAACCAGCAACCAGCGACCGCTATCAAGCGTCGAGTCTTTATGTAGCTTAGCTAGTTATACATTATTATCTTCCTCGTCGAGTACTATTATTATCTATTGCTGATAGTTCCGGAGTGGTAGCTGTAGCTGGGCTCAGCCTCGACAGGCCAACGCAGGGACAGACGGACGGACAGACAGACAGACCAGGCTCCTCAGGCTCTCTCCGGTGTCTCTCATCCCCCAAGTCAACATCATAAGTAGGTACATATCTCTCCGTCGGTCCCCCCATCCCCATCAAGCATCGGCTGGACTCCCTGCTTAGGGCTGACCAGGGCCTCCCATGTCCATCAGCGCTGAGTTTAGCTTAGTTCAAACTAAGAGTAAGGGCATGGTCCCAGGTCTCCAGTTTCCACCCACCGCCAGGCTGCGGCATGCTTGCTTCTTTCCATGCGTCCCTCTCCCCAGTTGTTGTCCCTCCCCCCATTACGCTGCCGTAATCGACGAGCGCCACGTTCCTTAAATACACTAAACCCACGGCCACAGGGCAGGTTGAAGCGTGTCTTCTTTTTTTTTTTTTTCCTTTCTCTCTCTCCCTCTCTCGGTGAGGACGACGTCTTGTCCTTTTTTTTTTTATTTTTATTTTTCTTTTGGGATTGGCATTCTGACTGGCACTGGCGAAGGGAAAAAGCAAGGTCAGCGGAGGGTCAAGAGCCTGAAGAGAGCAGGAGGACGAGAGAAAAAGCCTCCGTGGCCGCGTGTCTGAGCTCAAGCCTTGAGCCTTGAGCCTGAGCCTGAGCCGGAAAACCTGTAAATATGAATGGCCTGCCTGGGAGACTGAGTACTTAGTCTAGTAGTGTGCTTCCTCTCTCCCACCTGGAGTCCTCCACGTCGAGACCGAGAGAGCGAGGTGCTGGATGCCACGAGTCGTGCTGGTTTGTGTGACGGTGGTGAGAGGCCAGAGCTGGTGCCAGTCGCACGGAGTGTCATCCTCCCATCCATCCTCATTGCTCAACCGTAGGCTCTGCCCTCTCCACTCACCGTCGCATCGTCTCGTCACTTCGTCTTGTTCTTCTTCTTCTTCTTGTCTTGCTGTCCTTCTTCTTGTTGTCCTTGCTGTTATCCTTCGTCCTTCGTCGTCGTCTCTTTCTACTGCTAGACTTACTTTACCCAACTTTAAGCTCTTACGGTAACAAAACATGACTAAGCAGGCGCCACGAGTCTTCTTGGCAAAAAGGAAGGGGATCCCGCTCACGTGGCCGAGCCTTAAAGTGAAGAAAAGAAGAAAAAACACGGAGAGAAGAAGATAGTAAAGAGTAGAGAGTAGACAGTAGAGAGTAAAAGATAAAAGATGAAAAGGAACAAGAGACTAGCTAGAGTCATGTGCAAACAGCCATCTCTTTCACTGTCTCTTTTACTGTCTGTCTTTTACTGTCTTCCAGTATGTCTTCTCTCTCTCTCTTTATCCCTGCTCGCCTTTCGGGAACAAAAAAGCCACGCTCTACCGGCCATGCTGATGACTAAGCGAGGCTTACCATACATGACAAGAGAGACTCAACAACTCCCAAGACATGCAGCGAACGCTAGAGATTGATATCAATCAAGATGATGCAGCCCAGCCAGCAGTCACTCACTTGAGAGCCAAGAGTCGAACGAGAGAGAGGATCAAGATCAGGATGTGCCACTGTCAGACAGAAGAAAGAGGGAGCCTCGACGGGCGGGCAGATGATTCGACGCAGACAGGCTCGACTCTTTGTTCCATCGCTCAGCCGTGCTACCTGACAGGTCGCATTTCTCGCTGCCTTCTCCTGCCTCTCTCTGCCTCTCTCTGCCTCTCTCTGTCTTTCTCTCTTTGCTTCCTTTTCCCTTCCTCACCAGCCTCAAGAGAAAAAAAAAAAAAAGCAGGTTGAACTATGCGGCAGCCATGGAGTAACAAGCCACGCCTGGCTCACATTGCTTCTTCGGCCTCTTTTAACTATCTTCCCCCGTCAGCCACCTCTTTATTATCCTCTTTCGTCCTTGTTCTCCAGTCACCCGATGCGTCGTTTTGTCTCTCGGTCTCTTCCGTCTTGTCGTCGTCTCGTCTCGTCTTTCTCTCCTCTCTCTTTTGTTGCTCTCAACACCGAGTCGAGCGCCATTATGTAATAATGGATCTTGCCGCTGGGGCGACATCCTCCCAGACGAACCCTTGAGAGACAGGCCTCCCTCGTGTTGAAGGGCCCCCCAAAATCCAAAATCCAAAATCCAAGTCCCCTCCCCATAACCCCGGCAGATGCATGGCCCATCTTCCTGCTTACCCTAGCAAGTTAGCAGGAAACTTAGTACTTAGAAGCCAGACAGGAAACCCACTCGCTCGCTCACTCTCAAGCACACGCTCCACGGCAGGCCTGCCACGCATCCCCGATCATTATTCGTCTTCCAGCCACGAACGGCTTAAAAGCAGCACCAAGGCGTGGATTTTTGGTTTTTCTCTTCCCTCCCATGGTTGAGCAGGGATCTCGAGGGCTCCACTCCATCTCCATCGCACGTTTGTCCTCGAAGATCCTCGTCTGCTCCTGGCTGCCGCTTACTCAGTCGTCTTCCCAGTAAAAAGTCTCTTTCCCTCTGGGCCGCTTTCGTATGGTAAGGACTTTCGAAAGCAGTATTCGTAGTATGGGTAGAAACTGTTGGAGCTTGTTCGTCGTCGTTTGTTGGCTCAACACCGAGTAAAGGGTTAATTATTATGGGGCCTCTGCTCTGCTGTATACGATGTAGCTGTCTGATGTAGCACCCGTCCTCGACTTGATGGAGACGTCTTCTCCGGCCTGAACTTCAGGTACCCGTCTGGTCAGTACCCCATAATTATAACTCCTCCGTAACAGCAAGCAGAGTACGGAGTATGCATACTTACTGTACGGAGTACTGCTGTATAATTCAAAAAAAGCCTGCAGAACCACAGGATATCATCACAGCTCGGCCAATGCTCTGTACCGCCCTCCAGGTGTACCGTGGTTGTGCGTGTGACTGTGACTGTGATCGGCCACCGCATGACGATAATTATTCCTCGTTAGCCAGAGCCATATACACCAGCATAACCATAACCATAACCAGAACCAGAACCATTAGGTACCTACCTAACCATCATTCACAAGCGGCCTCCTCGGACCGGGAACACCCAACACCCAACCACCATCCACTCTTCGTCTTCAGAGCCGAGTTCCTGGATTATTCTAGCCCAAAGAGCCAAAGCCAAACGACCAGCGGCGTAGCTTTCTCCAGCCTGAAACCCTTCAAATTTGCCATCACCGTTTGTTTCTTCCTCCAACCTGCCCCTTCGAGAACCTCTGCTCCGTCCAGCCGACCCATCGGCCTGGCTCGCACGGCTAGCGAAGTGCTAAGACTCGGTAGTCAAATAATAAGTACTAAATAACCCATCTCGCTCCCACGCCCTCTTTCGTTCGGTCTATCTTCCGAATGGGGTGCGTTGGTAGCGATGGCCCTGGAGTCCACGACGACGTTCGTCTGGTCGGAGCCAAGGTAAGTATGTGAGTATAATGTTATGTATGTAATTTATTTCGCGGGAGCTAGTCACATAACAAATACAAGAATGGTAACAGGGCGTACGGAGTATCAGCTGCAGAATAATAATACCTCCGTCCAAACGCCACGGGCAAGGCAAATAATAATACATAATAGTTAATATGGCAAACGGGAGAAGAAGAAGACGAATAAGCTGATGTATTCGATTCTGCGAGCCCTGCGTTTGCTGCTGCTGGTGGATACCCATGTGTTCGTCGCTGCTGGGCTTCGTTTGATGCTGGCATAACTACCACTGCGCTGGTTTCAGGGCACGCATGCATCTACTTCCTCTGATATTATATTTTACTTACAGTGCAAGATTAATACGATATAACTATCAAAGTCAGTCCTTACAGGCGATCAATGGCTTGCGGTTGAGTTGCAGTTGATATCCATGGTATGACATGCACCACTACTGGAAAATAACAATAACCGCCCATCTCAGGGGCCCAGCGGCGCACAAGATATCAAATATCCGACCTGACTCGTCTCCTTCTGGCTTGACTTTGCTCGCCTCCCCCTAGTTTTTGCTCATGATATCCTCCTCCTGCCTTTCGCCGAGCTATATGTGCAGTGATATATATCCTCCTGAGTACTTTATGTCCGTGGCCCCGGCCCCCTCGGCGGAGACCCTGTCTGAGGCGTTCTCTGCATCCCCTGCCCGGCCTGCCCGACTGGCATGTTCACCCATATACCATGCTGAGCTCTGCACACACACACAACACATGCACACCCATGTCCAGGACATGGTGCGGAGGGCACAGGTGTTGGCGCCGAGTCGTGTCCTGCGGGTACCTTTTTCTTCTTCGCCCAGACAAGACAGCAAAACGATTGACGGTCGAACCGCCTTTACATGGTCCATACCAACATCCCGGATGCATGCCATTATAAACTGTCCTTGGAAGTGTATACAGCACACTTGATATGCCTGGTCACTGGCAGAGAGGGAGAGGCATAAAAAGTGCCTGAGCGTCCTTTTTTTTTCTTGTCCTTGCAACTTCGCCTGGCCAGGAACGAAATATGGCCCTTCTGGATGATCGACTTTGCATCCTGTCTTGTCTTGGTCCGTCTATACCCCCTCCTAAGAGTGCAGTGCTGGTCCTGCTTATGTTTCTCATGTGCATGAGGCGCTTGAACCCTGCCTGGCCTGGCCTTGCTCAGCGCATGGGGATCGCCTCGGGTGCACTGCATAACTCACTAAACTAGCCGGCCTAGCACATCTGCTTCTGCCCGTGAGATAGTGGGAAGAAAAAAAAACAACAACATAACAGCCCTTAGTAACGCGGGGAAGCAATATAATACGTATTGGACGGGAATGGGTGAATCCATCCCAAATCTCCTACCCGGCCGGGGGACACATGTATGTAACTTAACCGTCGTTACTTATTACATGACTTGCATCTGGCCCGGCAGGATGAAGGGACACGGCGTGTAACTATTTGGGCTGGAGTGCGCCTCGGGCCATACACAATCCCTCGTCCTATTAATTGCGTGCACACTACTTAGACTAGCTCCTCCGTGCGTCTTGGAGGATTGAAATAAATGCGAATATATTTGTGTCTTGCGTCGCCTGCATCCCTCCATATATACGTCAGCCATATAGCTATATATACTCCGTGCATATAGACTAACTGACCACCCACTCTTGCAACCGAACCCGACGGTAAGGACAGTAACGATGTTATACGCCATTACCGAGCGGGTAAATTACTACCTGCCCTTTTTCAACGGAACACCCGATCAGAAGCCAGATCGACCTCGTGCAGCAGCACTCTTTGCACGGATTACTCTTGATTGTCCATGCATAAGCAGCTTATATTACAGCATCCTTAGCCTACCAGTAACCAGCCGAATGGGCGGAGGGTCCGTAAAGTATTCTATACTGTACATACACTCTGCCTGGTGGAAGGAAAAGCAGGAAAACGTATACTATGTGACCTAGCTCACCCGTTCGTCCTTCTCATCCCGTCCCGAATTCGCATTAAGAGGGCGGGGGTTGTACAGGGACCATAGGAGGGATGAAGCGGAGTAAAAAAGACGACGCCGACGACGTCACTTGCATCTCATGGCTTCAAGTCCTGGGTTTTTTTCTCTTCATATCTATCTGCTTCGACTCACCGCCGGTCGAAGAGAAGCTGTTTCAAAGAATGAGGCTTTCGGCTCGATGGAAGGGAGATTAGATCGCTTGAAACGAGCTGGCTCATCTCGTCTCGCCTCATCTCGTCTCGAACTGGCCCTTTCAACGTCACCACCTTCATAAAAAGTGCATTAATTCCTCCCTAAGACCAAGTCCGCTAAAATGATCGACTTCGAGATCGCTGGCTAAAACGTTCCTGTTGGCTCAGCTTAACCTTAACGCTCCGTCCAGTCAGGCCGGATTCGATACCACAAGCCAGACTTGACGTGAGCTCACCAGATAGAATAAAACGTAAGTAACAAAGTACTTACTCCATCCCCTCCACCCCCTTTGATAAATGATTTGCCGGGTTCTGCAGCCGGAAGTTCCGGGTCTGCTTTTCTTTCTTCACCATGCAGTAGTCGAGTCAGTTGGCTTTTTAGCCTTTCTTTGGTAGAAGCCCTGAGGAGCCATATTACGCCGTAGCATGGCATCCATTATGAACACTGCCTGATTTTATTAGTTACTCAACTCATATCACATCTGATATGCATGCAAAAATAGGATCTGCTAGTGCTGGCCCCCAACTGCTGCGCTCCCGTCCCTTTGACAGCACAGGCAGGGTCCTGGCGTGCGTCCGATGAGGCTGAGCAAGCAAAGGGCATCTTGAAGCGAAACTAGAGGGTGATAAGTACCCAGTTAGTACTGATGATTGACGAAACTAAGGCCTTGGTATTGGCTTACCCCGGGCCCTCTCCCAGCTCATCTCGGTCCCGATGCCTGGTTCGGGTTGAAGCCTGGGAGAAAGTGAAGAAGCGAGTCGGCCTGGATGGCAATCCAAGCACTCTTTTCCCTAGTGCTTGCTCTGACGAGTCTCATGAAGATGTGACCAAAACCGAGCCGTGATTTCTGTCTTGCCGTTGACATGTGGATGTTGTTCTAGTAGGAGAATAATATAAAAAAAAAGCAAAAAAAAGAAAGATGTGCCCCCGACCAGATTCGAACTGGTGACCTTCATATGACATAATATGAATTACAAGTATGACGCGATAACCCCTACGCTACAAGGGCAGAAAGTGTTAGGTTGGTCAGCCCGAGAGGCCTTTTCAGTCTGCTTCCCGAGGCAGAAAGTTGACGTACTTTTATCTACTGCAACACCTTACCTACTCTGCAATATGTGAAAGGGGCTTCTTGATAGACAGACATTGTATTGCTTCTACCTGCTCTAGAAGTACATCTACTCGTCACCCTCCTCATCCTCCTCCTCGTCATCATACTCAACGTCTATTTCGCCGGTAATATCCCACCGATCGCCCTTGGCTGCACGACTCACATACTTCACAAACTTCAGCGGCCCTTGGTCCCGTAGCACAATGCTCATGCGGTTCCAGCCGGCCGCCATGCTGAGCAGGATTCCGTCGTCCTCGTCATTGGTCGACGACTTGTAGATGGCCGGGTCGGCCTTTGACTTGTTCACCTTTGATTTGCTTCCCGTCGAGCCCAGCGTTTGTTCCGTTGCTGCGCCGGCTTCTTCCTCTTCTTCGTCATCGTCATCACCTGCCATGTAGATTTCGTAGCCTCCAACAGCTAGCTCTTCTTCTTGTTCTGCTGCTGCTGCTGCTGCTGCTGCTGCTGCTGCTGTGCCGTTCTCTGGCTTGGCTTTGCTGTTGGTCTCAGATTTGGTCTTGTCTGCTTTCCCAGCCTCTTCTTCCTCCTCATCCTCTTCTTCCTTCTCCCAGCCAGGGGTCGGGGTGATGCCAATGGTAAACTCAAGGCGGGGCGATTCCCCTTCGTATCCGCTGGCAAGGGTATAGTCCTCCCCGCGCCTAAATCTGCGGGCAAGAAGGTTGTAGCCCAGCAAGCCATCCAGTCCAGTCACTGCAGAGAGCCATTTCTTGAATGCGCGTGATGGAAGAAGATCCTCCAGCAGCTCCTGGATGGGCGTCTTTTCCTTTTGCCCGTCGCTGGTCTTGTCCAAACACGGTTGCTGGTACAGGTATCGGTGCTTATGTGGTGGCCGGCTCACTTTCCAATCTGTCTTCTGCTCAATCTCTTCCGCAGAGGTAGGGAATGTCTCATCCTTTTCCTGGCTCTCGATATACGAGCGCAGACGTGGGGTGAACTTGTCTGAAAGGAACTTCTCAAGTCGGACAATCCGGTCGTTGTCGAAAATCTCATTCAGCTGGCTTGCTACGTCGGGTGTCAAGTACGACGGGGCAATGTACTTGAGCAGGAAATCAAGGTCTTTGTCATTGAACCCTTCATCGTCATTATCGTCTTCTCCTGCAGACTTAGCGGGTTCCTTGCCCTTGGAAGATGTATCTTGCTCCTCAACTGTCTTATACGGAACGAATTGCGGTTGTGGTCGATCAAACTCATCGCCTTCACCCTGAAGCTGCTGGAGACTGCTTCGTTCAGCCAGTTTCTCTGCAAGACCTTCCTCGTACCCATCCTCGCCCTCCTGCGGGATATGGAACCAGCCACTGATCGCCATGCGCACCCTAGACTTGATCTCCTTCTCACTGCCCTTCGTTTCCATGTGATACACCTCCTCGACATCATGGAAGCTCTCACCGGGCTGCACCGCAAAGAAACTCAGCTGATTGAAAGCCGGTGGGATAGAAACAGTATGATCCGGCTTGGGAATCTTGACTTCCTCCCCGTCCGCATTAGTTTCCGTCGTGGTCGGGAACAATCGCAGTGCTCCACCCCATTCTGGCTTCCATGGCACGTCCGGGTCAGTCAGGTATAGGATATAGCTCACTCGTCGGCTTCCAATCACATCGTCATGGCATAGCAGATGACATCCACCAGTGTAGACATTGACAGCCATATCGGTCTTGCTACCGCTCAGCTTTCCAGCACCGGTAACTTCAGATAGGTACTCTCGAAACGGCTCCGAGTATAAGGCATTTCGTAGCTTCAACAAAGAAGGCAGCCGTGAGAGCGATTCATCATCCAATCCATCGAGATTGGCCAAATCCCCAGACTGGTAGATCTTGTAGATGTCGGTCTCTTTCTCCGTGAAGGAGATGTGCTCTTGAATCTCGCTGCGGACAGCACGGAGGAGCTCCTGGTTGAATAGAGGAGAGATAACGCCATGTTTATACCTATCTCACAAAATTCAAGCAATTAGCAAGCTTCCACAACATCAATTGAGCCATATAGACAGAAGAGACAATAATGAAACGTTACTTACGGGCCTGATTTCGCATAGGCTGCCTTGTACTTCTCCAGCGTATCCTTATCTAGAAGGCCATCTGCAAAGGATGGAACTACCGATTGAGCTGAGACGGCTCGTTTCTTTGCCAGTTGGTCGCCATTCTCGGCTGGGCTTTGCGCCTCCGAGTCCGCCTTGCGCTTCATCTTTCGCTGCTCGTGGTGGCTTTGAGTAGCTTGCTGTGATGGAAGTGCTAGCTAATCGAACTCCCTCGGGTGGTCTGATAACGAAAACTTTTTTAACCTCGACTATGCCAAATTGGGACTAGTTCAGGTCTGAGCTCTGTGTCGAAGCTTCATCGCAACATCCTCAACCTACGCCATAGCAATAGAACCATCCAATATCCTTTAGTTTGTCTGGGGATAAATACCCGGCCTGCCTGTTGCTATATCTCGACAGCACTAGCAGTCAAATGGCCAAAACATGTCAAAGGCCTTCCTGTCTTCTGGAGAATGAACCACACGGTCAATGAGATCCGTTTTGATATCATGTAGCATTGCCATGACCATGTGATAGTTCTCATGATCAATTACCCCCTTCTCCGGCCATAAATCACCCATCTTCTCAATGATCATGTTCATAGCCTCTATCCCCATATCGGCAGCCTTCACATCTGCCTCGATCTCGGAGATTTCCGCGGTGGAAAACTCGAGTGGGAATTCCTTCCCCAGTTTTACCCACTCATCCCTTAGATCCAACACCAGAGCTCGGAAATGCGCTTCACCAAAAACAAACAAGTTCTGCGAGAGACCCAGCATATGTCCGGCTTTCGACTTTCGGAATCGGATAGCCGCATGTTGGTCGGGATTCTTTTGCTTCACAAGCATTCTCCACGCTACCATGACAGACATATCGTAGAACCGCTTGATAGCTGCTCTTCTTTCGTCCGGTTCAAGAGAATCAATGTCTTCGCGGAGGGCTGGTGGCTGGGGGTCTTCACCAACATCAGGGCCTTCGTATCCTAGAAAGCTAGGGTCTAGGCAGTGATCGACCAAAGGAGCTATTTGTATAGATTGCCAGTCAATTATACCAGTAATTTCCGTGGGTTTGGCGGGGTTGACAAATATATTTTCCGAGTGGAGATCGTTATGCCATAGATGACCTGAAGTGAGTCCCGCTTCGCTAGGTAATATATGCCCAAGCATCTGGGAATAAAGCTTAACTGCAGCAAGCTTCTTCCCGGCTGTTGGTTGGTAGGCTCCGGGACCATGAAGTATAGCACATTGGCTTGGGATATATTTCAACGACCTGATTGCCATCTCCTCTCGATGGCCAATTGCCAAACGATAGTCTAAAAGCGATGCCCCTGTTGATCATTCCATTAGTACAGGTTTTGCTAATAGTTAATGCCACGTGCAGGCTAGTATGGAGGCTCACATGGCCCTCTATGGCACTGGAGATCCTCCCTGCCATCCTGTAACCACTCCCGACTGATAGATGGCCCAATTGCAAACCGGTTGTCTTTAATGGGCTGCCCATTTCTATTGATGTAAAGGTTGTTCTCCGTCAAGGCATTAGTGGGAAGATCCTTGGTGTAGTAGAGGCTACCAAACTGGGAAAACTTTTCCGCCGTCCACCTTTTCTGGTATTCGAATATCTGTAAGAAAACCTTGAGCTTGTCGGGAGGTTCAAGCGAGTCCCAGGCTAGCCCTAGAGGTACCCCAGGGACCCGTTCCATAATGATGTACTCGGCTCCAACGCGGTTATCTCCATTTACCTTGGAATTCCACGCATAGACCTGTGGAACTGGCGTATGCAGAACATTTCGTGCCTTATAATTAAACTTGTCAGAAAACTCAAGTATACCTAAATAATTGTACAGTTGTTACTCACAAATTCCATGGTAGCAACTTCACTGGCTATTGTTAGATGCGCCGGCCCTGCGTTGGGATTGGGTATTTTGCCGATAACTTCTTTTCCGTTGTCCATGGTAAGTAGGAAAGCTTTATTATATAGGCCATCAGGGCATTTCTGGACGTCGATGCATTTGGTTGCGCCCGTAACCTTTGCTGCTATGGCTGCAAGCTCGTTCATATTGAATTTGACGTATCTCCGCCGTAATTGTTCTGCCTCATCCGAGACAAAGCGCCCACGAGTAAAGCGGAAGAAATCGTCATCTTGATAGTTACCTACAGTAAAATAATTAATAGTCGCACTGTTGACTCATGCACATGTATGTTCTTGATCTTACAGCTTTTGCCTGCCTGGGTGACCGTGAATACGGTAGCTACCTGGCATTTGATATTTGAAACACTAAGCTGAAATAAGCGCTTCCTGGTAAATGAGCTTGATAGAGAAAAAATTATCATTATGGGCTTCCGATAGCTGCAGTCAAGGCAGCTCTCTCAACTCTTTTATTGTATTTTTATCTTGTCGTTTAGTAAATGATATCTGGTTAGACTCCAGAGGCTAAACGCCTCATCTTGGCAGAAATTGGAAAATGGAGATATTGAGAATGTAGATAATGAATAAATTGAATTGTTTCATTGATTTTCCGAGAAATAAAAGGATTTATGACGGACTACACCGCAATGTCTATATCTATCTATTTAAAGCAGTAAGCAGTCCGAATGGACGTAACTTCGGCTGCCATTTATCATCAAGGAAAAACGGGTTCTGACCTCTATTTCAGTCACTATAATAGATTTTTGTTTAGTAGTCTCCGAGAGGAGAGTTGCTTCACACTGTATGGGCATATAGTGTGAGAAAGTGTAGGGCATTTTATGCGCCTAACGTGCTTGTGAGTCTGTCTTCCCATGAATTTCATGCCTGCGTTCACCTAAATAGCCAAAGATGGAGATCGTCTGGAGGCCTTCGAGAAGACCACTATGTAGTTCAATTTCTTAATCCTTTGCTCTCCTACCTAGAAGAGATGGAAAATCAGGCCGTGCGACGGGGAATTATGTTTCCGAGAGACCGGGGATTCTGGCTATGATAGATACCAGAATATCGCCATGATATTTCTGCTGGTGCATATACCAGTCAAGATACTTAATAAGATAGAATATCCGAGTTCCCTCAGTTTCGGTATCATCTGCCAACGTTCCTAGACTTGACATGAGGTTCAATCTTGTCCACAAAAGGCCGATATGGAGCTGCCAGAGTGTGTTCTGGGCTTCTTGAGGTAGACGCCGCGGACGGAGTATCATGGCGTGGTTCACCGGGCGTAGGTCTCAATCTTTGCTCTTCATGCATTTTGTCCAGAGGTTCACCAACTATATGGTACTTCGCCCAGTTGATAGCAGGCATCCGTACGATATTCTGCGGCTTTGGTATTTTGCTGAGCTTCCTTGACTGATTTCTGCCAGGACTATTATTATCATTTGTCGGTTTCACCTGGTCCACGTCCATTGCCTCTGGGCCGCTTTCCGTTCCAGTATCTTCTTGATTGTTTTCCTTGCGCGGGGAAAGGTGGAATAAGTCGCCCTCGTCCGACTGGAGAGAACCGGCTAGAAACTCGCTGGCGAAAGCATGAGGATCCTCAGCAGCGGCCTGTTTCAACTTGTCCAGCGTCTGAATGTCTCGCAGGGCCTGCTGTTTCTGTATCTGGAGAATGGTGATGGCGGACCGAAGAGCGATGGCGTCTGGGTTCTCGCTTTCAGAGATAGGCACTGGAGCTGGCTCCCTGATGAATTGCGGTGGTGGCAGAGCAGGGACGGCTCCGTTCTTGTTCGGAGCCGATCTGGCACGATCGACGACGGCGGGTATGGACTCAAAGACGCTGCTGAGGGCCGGGTAGGCAGCCGGTGGTAGCGGGGACGCAGCTATCGTGGACTCAGGGGCGGCGGGAGTTGTGCTGGAGGACTGAGGCCTGCCTGGCGTAACGGGCGAGTACGGAGGCGGCGGCGGCGTCCCCTGCCTCTCCTTATCCTGCGGCGGCTTCACGTCGCTTGCGGTCATCGTCGCCTGTGGGAGGAGGTTTGAAGCTGAAACATGCGAAGGCGAGATGAGGCTATCTCAAGTAGTTAACTTGGACAATTAGTTAGGCTTTCGGGCCAGCCAGTTACATCAAAGCGCTAACTCGATAGTTAAGCGCAACTCGGTAGTTGAGTTAGTTTAAGCCCCAGCGGACAAACGCCGAGCTCGAGAGGCAAACCCACAGAAAGCAAGCTAATATTAACTACTTGGTCTCGACCTTATCAGGAATTTGGACGATGATAACCAGGTTGTAGATGGCAAACTAGGTGGGGGAGGCTCGGTTCTATGGATGGCTTAACCAGTGTCCCTAACTAGTGCAGACATCAAAGGGCTTGTTAGTTAACCACAAACTGGTTCCATCAGACTGAGAGATAAGGAAAGAGGAGAATAATTGAATTGAATAAGGTGCTGCGGCGGGGGACATGTACCTGGTATATTTATTACTCGCACGGCAGATATCCAAAAATAGAGAACTCCTATTAAATTATATAAGGGACATAGCCCTTATGTTTGTTTTTCGCTATGTACAGTAAATATTAATCCAAAATGTAAACACCTAATACTCCTCCCTCCCTCCCTGGCCTTCATATATACTTCCAATATATAGACCAATTAAATATGTAGAATATCTGAGTGCTCTTCCAGGTACTTAGCACTGTCCGCCCTAAAGTCATCTTTGAGATAACTGTTCTTCACGGCCTCGAAGTTCAGTAGCATCTTCCCCTCTCCCCATCTTGGCCACTTGGGGAAGCCCAAAGGTGTTCCCTTATTGGGGTCCAGGTTGTTGACGAAGCTAAGATAGTAGTTCTGGATGCTTGTGCTGGGGATTCCAGGAGTGTATCCGAACGAAGTAAGAATATCGGAGCCGTGGAAAGTGCCGAGAATTGGAATGATGTGGCCATAGGTCCCGAGGTAGGACCACGTTGGAATTTCAGGGAATTTATCGTTGGCGATATCCAGGAAGACACGACGGGAGAGAGTGAACACTAGATCTCCCAACATGGCAGCAAGCCGTTTATACTGCGGATATAGCTGGTTGAGGTTTCCAGTTCTGAAGGGGGAGCCGGCGGATGGGTCATTGGGATAAGTATCTACCAGATCTCTGAGCTGTTCCTTGGTTGCGCCGTGGAAGAAGTATGTACTGAAGTAGTCGACGAGATGTTCGGTGGTTGTAATGTTGTTCTGTACAAGAGAAAAGAGGGTGCCTTCGTCTTCTTGATCACCAATGATGAAGGGAACTTTGGCCATAAGTCCACTTCTACCTAGCTTATCTGGAGAGGCGGTGAGAGCTTTGCCATCAGGTCGTGGAAGATAAGACAGAGCAACTGAATCGTAGCTGAGGATCCCAGGGACTGAATTGGCGGCGTTAAGGAAGGTTGTGTAATCGACAGATCGTAGACAGTCGAGCTTATCGGTAGCCTTGGAACATCCGGCTGCTTCGACCACCTTTTCGTATACAACTTCGCCTTTGGGGCAGTCAACCGGGTCGGCAGGGATAACACTTCCACTGTTCATGATTGCTCCGCGGAAGAGAGGTTTTCCTTTATAAGTATTGTCGCCATCGTACAATGCCATCTGGTCGAACACGGAGATAGCACCAGCAGACTCTCCCCAGATGGTGACCTTTTCAGGATCACCGCCAAATTTCGAAATATTGTCAGCAACCCACTGAAGTCCAAGGCGTTGATCAAGGAGACCTAGGTTAGCGGAGCCATCATTTTTGATATCTGCGCCAGGCAAGAAACCAAACCCTCCGACTCGGTAGTTTACGGCAACGAAGATGATGTCTCGTCTCTGGGACATAGATCTCAAGATCAGTGAAGTTCCGTCATAGAGTTGTGTAGAGCCAAACTCAAAGCCACCGCCAAAAATCCAGAAAAGCACAGGTAACTTAGACTCCGGGGTGGCAGATGAAGGTTTCTGAACGTTGATTGTAAGACAGTCCTCGCCAGCGTGGGTAATCTTCTGGAATACTGGTGTGTTGATGAACCTTCCGAGAATGTCGTCTGGAATATCGTCAGACTTCAGGTATATCTGCGGGCAAGCACGAGGAAGCCCAGTAGCCTGCACGGTTCCAAGATCCCCGGTAATGGGCTGCGGAGGCTTCAATCGCAATTTGCCGACTGGAGGCTGGGCGTAAGGGATGCCCTTGAACGAGTCAATCCCAAGTGCACTGGAACCAACCACAGTGGCATAGTCCAATTGAACAGTAGGAGCTGCTCGCTTTTCAATTGCTGGAGCAGCAGCAGTTGGAACAGCAATTGAAAGGCGAGCGAAAAGGACCGCTGCGGTAAGTAGAGACCACATCATGAAAAGTGTTATGGAAGGGCAAAAAAGAAACCCAACTCAAAGGGTTCCTGTGATAAATAGAAAAGCTGCTCTATGATCTGGAAGAGGGATCAACATACTCTTGCAGACATGGAAATCTCCAGGCTTTTATGTTTGGCCCATACCTGAATCCTTAATCACATCTGTCTAGGGCTATCGTATCATTATTTTTTGTTCCCTGCCCCCGAGACAATCAGAAAGTGAAAATCTTGGGAAGGCCATCATTGACCCTGTCTGTCCCAAGCTGATGGGGCTCATACGCACCAGGCTACTAGCAAGAAGGTTGACTGACCCCTGTACATCGTAGGTGGGTATATCTGGAAGAGAACTGGCTCTCAGCATGGACAGTGCGGGATCGGCTCCAGGTTCGTGGCATGTGCAACAAGAAAAGAGCGATCTGTATATATATAATATATAGACCTGAATGACCGTGGCCGAGGCATGTGTACCTTCACATATAACAGGTTGAGTATATATGCATGGGTAGTTCACTTTAGGTCCCAGCCATCATGCAGGATTACTTGTCCAGGTGAGTCCGCTCACATCCGGGGAACCTCGTTTAGTTCTCGTCGATAGCCATGCCTAGTATACGCAAAAGTATAAAAATAAAACCAAAAAATATATAAATAAAAAACGGGGCCAATTGTGGGCATTCACGATGGCAGGATCCGCCAGTCCGGCGTGTTCTCGGTACACGACGCAGAAATCGGTCCAAAAGGGAGGAAGAAAATATAGGGGGTGGAGTGCAGACTTTCCATGGTACAGCACAATGGAGTCATGAGGCAACGATACCCGCCACCCGATCTGTGGGGATTTAGCTATCATTCGCATCTCAACGGCTCTCAGGAGATGCTACCAAGGCCCATATTCAGAGTTCTTTTGAGATCTGGATAATCGCTTTTGGTGGAGGTAAGCTGTTCACCACCCAAGCCCTGCACCAAGGTAGAGTTTTTGTTCTCAGCACTGGATTAGGAAAAACTAATACAACCGTGACATCTCCCGTGTATACGGGTAGCAATGACTTCTCCACCATATACTGGTGTTCCAAGTCATTCATTGGACA